CAGATTCCTACCACTGTGTAGATGGCTGAATAGAAGCTCAGTGCTGCGTCTTTGGAGGGGAAGGATTTGCGGGCAGACGCCACCAGGTAAGGGTTTCCTGTGCAGGCTCGGCGCTCTGTGATGTACTGCAGCGGAGAGTGGCAGCCCAGAGCTGTGTAGTTTGGCCTGCAGGCAGACAGGAAGTGAGGTGTCTGGTTTCCTGTCACTACTTGACCAGCATTGGCAAAGATAGTGGTGGTGAAAAGGCCGAAAGAGTAGACACCTGTGTGAAAAGAGGGGCAAAGTGAGAGAGAGTGCATTTATTTACTGAAAATAAGTGAATCGGGGAGATTGTTAAGCATCAGAAACATCAGAAACAAGCGCATAGATGGGAATTAAGTGCTTACACGGACTATTATCTATGTGGGAGTGAAAGGCCAGACTGACATAGCCTCTGCTTTTATGCTTCATAACATCAGTCCAACATGTTAAATGATTTATAACCTGAGTAAATACAGAGATGACGAAAAAGACCACAGAAGATCAACATGAAGAAAGGGCCAAAGAAAATTAGTTCACAGGAGACTCAAACTAAGGACAAGGGCACTTTCTACCCCATACACATACTGTATGACAGAGGAGCACTGGTGTAAGCCTTAATGAGCTTTGGTCCCAAATAACAGAGGCTCCATTAGTCAGAGCTGAAGAATCTCAGATATTCAGGACTCTGACTGACCTAGAAAACGTACAATCCTACGAAGGAGAGGGTTGAAATAACAGCAGTCAGCAGTCACTATGGTCTTCTCCTGAGCTCCCTCTGTCTTCACAAAGAAACTGGTCACTTCCCCGATCAGAATCTGGGACACAGAAAGAAGGAGAGAAACAGAAAACTGTGTGGTTAAGGACTGATTGGCTTCGCTCATTATGTGCTTGGCATATTTTTCTCATGAGTGATCCTCCTTCAGCATTGCAATTGTTATATTTTAACTTGGCCAGCTTGATTTAAATTTCCCCCATCATTTGACAAATTGTAGGCTGCTTTAGTAAAGCCCAACATTAACACTCTCATCAATGGGAATTTGGCACCCTCAGTCTCATGACCCTTAATCATTTATTTCTCTGTTTTTTCTGTATGACTTTCCTGAAGCTCCACAAAGCCATGAACAGCATATGCACACACACACACACACACACACACACACACACAGATTTCATTGTGTCTTGTTGGTTTCACAGAGGAACGTGTTCATTCATCCTCTCCTTCAATGACTGATGCAGAAAGTGAGGAGGTGACGCCTGTCAGTCCCACAGAGAACGCTTCCTGTCAGGCTACAGAGGCACAGATGTGCTAATGTGCTACATGATGGTCTTACATGCGCAGCTGATAAAATGAAAAATGGTCCTAATTGGCCTGATATATGTCAGTAGTATTTTGGTCAGTCAGTAGTCAGTGTATTTCAGCGGGCTGCTCAGAACTATTGAACCCTTTGGGAACTTTGTGCTCATAGAACTAGGGAATGTGCTCCATTAAGAAAGCAACACTACAAAGTAAGGGTTTTTCAAAACGATTCTGTTGAACATTTTGCCTTTATTTGACAGAAGGTCACAGTAAGGTGGACAGAAAAGATGGGAAGACAAAGAAAAGGGAGAGACATGGAACTTAGGCTCACAGCCAGACTCAGACCGTGGAGGTTGTGAATATATGACACGCACCGTAATTATGCCGCCATCAGGACCCTCTAAGTAAGGCTTTTCTAAAGCTTACTTTGAAACTCATGGTCAGCACACTCCTCAGATTTCCAGAGGGGCAGTTGCAGAGTTCTGGGCTGCAGGAAATGAAAGCAGTCTGTCTTTGGTTCTTTAAACTGGATTTAGATTTGGTAGAGAAATGCATCAGAGCATTTGCAGGTGGTTGCACGAACATACTATATGTAGTGAGGTGATTAAATACCCAGGGTGCAAGGCTGTGAAAAGAGTCAGACTATAGCAAGAAAGCATCTTTGCAGTGTTCCCACAAAAGAATATCATGTAGACTAAACATACAGTAAGATAGATGTGTGCTCTTCTTCTGGTTTATATGTTATAACTTTTTGCAGTAGTACATATCTTACTGTAAATATCAATTGTACAATCTATCGGTCAATTAGTACTGACTGTACACACTGTAGATACTGCACACTCTGCACTGCTGTTATTGCACTTCTGGTTAGATGCTAAACTGCATTTCGTTGCCTTGTACTTGTACATGTGTAATGACAATAAAGTTGAATCTAATCTAAACTAGTGTTCTGAATAAACTTTTGATCTGAATGTATTTCTGGGAGTTATTTATGTGTAGTGAGTATGAAGGAGAAGAAGAGTGGAGGAGACAGCAGTCACTAACAATAATTTGCTATCAACCAAAAAGGCAGAAGGCAAAAGAGACTTGTAAATGGTGTTGTTGGCAGTCACTGTGAAACTGAGATACATAAAAGAAAAGAGGCTGATTGCAACATAATTAAGAGCTATCAAAGGCTCAGTCTAACCTTGCCAAATTGGTTTCAGCAGCTGTCTCTGCAGTGTGGCCAACTTTTTTTTTTGCAGCAACCCAGGGGAGTTTTCCACTTTAAGTGGTGTGAATTACAAAAGGATGTTGCATGCAGTGCAAGAGCTGGAACTAGTATAGCCTCAAAAAGGAAGACAACTCTGCAGGGCAGCAGGATGTGTAACCACTGCAGGCCTTTTGTACATATGGCCGCTGCACATGCACAAACATAAACAATGGTCAAAACTTAATGCTGAAAATTAAGTAATAATATTTGAACCCCATATCATTTTGTTTTTATAGCAGTGAAGACTTGAGCCAGTTTTTAAAGTTCATCAACCAAACCTGGGAAAAACTCAGTCATGCCAGATGCCTCATGATTTCTATGAAGCACCAACACAATTCCCCTGATCTGGCAGCAACTGGATTAATTCGACAAGTTTGACAAGTTAGGTCATTTATGTGTAGTGAGTATGAAGGAGAAAGTGAACTGTGATTTAAAGATAGTTATTATTTTATTTTCTATGGACAAGTGTGATATATTTGGTTAATTATTACCATTTCCAAAGTCTCTTGGAATGGCATTTTAAGAACTATTATCGTTCTGGGTTCCTGCAGTGTGGACACACAAAAGAGTGATACTTTCTCCAACAGTTCTGTGAAAAGGTTCCTCTGGTCCAAAAGAACTGTCAACACACAATGGTATTTTTTAGGCAACTTAATAACAATATGGAAACGTTAACTCTTTAGAAAGGTCAGTTACACACACTGGCCTGCCTCTATACTTTGCGTTTGACAAATACTGACCAGTTTGTCAGGTCACACTGTGACAGTAACAGTTTTTCAAGAATGAGTCAACTGATTCCTTAAAAGCAACACCAGAACAAAGGTTTGAAATTCAGAAAGACTGAGCAGGAACAGGGAGAGAGAGACTTCTGCACAGTTGTTAATAATACAGACGCTCCTGGAGTTGAAGATGACTTGTTATTTTTGCAGCAGTGTTCATCCCTTTACAGCCTGTGTTGTGTCATATTATTACCTGCAGATGCAGGTAATAGCACTGGACAGTGAAAAGTCTTGTTACTCCTTCTCTGCCATGTTCTCTTCCTGCTCTTCACTGTGGTGGAGAATCAAGTCTACATCCTCATTAGGGAAGTGGTTGCCATGTCCACTCTCAAGCTAATGCGTTCCTTGTGTCCGGAAAACGCTTCTGATAAGAAAACACAGTGGGGGTGGCATGGTGGCGCAGTGATTAGCTCTTTATTTGATCTCAGTCACTCAACATGCAACATGGCCAGGAATGAATCTGTATTTCTGAATTTTATAATTGCATTTAGGGTGGTATGGTGGTGCAGTGGTTACTGCTATCGCCTCGCACCAAGAACATTCCAGAACGCTCCCTGTACCTGTGTGATTTCTCTCCAGGCACTCGGGCTGCAGTTTAGGTTGAATAGCAACTCTAAATTGCCCATAGCAGTGAGTGTGGTTGTTTTTCTCTAAGTGTCAGCCCTGTGACAGACTGGCGACCTGTCCTGGGTGTACCCCACCTCTTGCCCAGTGTCAGCTCCAGTCCCTCCATGATCCTATTCAGCTATAAAGGTAGAGACAGTCACCCTATCTACCTTTACACTTTTCATGTTCAATATTGGTTAAACTCTCTACCTTTAATTAGAATTAAGACTTTCCTTTTTGAGACAGTTTATAGTTAGGCCTGGCTCAGGTGACCCTGAGCCTTCTAGTTATGCTGCTATAGACCTAGACTGCCGGGGAGCACTATGATGCTCTGAGCCTCTCTGCTCCTCGTCCATGCATCTATATGCCACCATTGCGTAGTATGTCCACTCTCTCTTTCTCCATGTACCTTTCTGCAGGTATCCCTGGCTCTGCAGCTGTGTGTTTCTGATGAGCAGTGACTGGCCACATCAACCTGCCCAGTGTTTGATTGCTTGTTGTGTCTTGCTGCTTTTCTTCCGTTAAAGGGAGTTTTTCCTCCCCACTGTCACCAAGTGCTTGTTCAAGGGGGATTTGTTGGGTTTTTCCTCTATAATAATAATAACAGTAAGGTCTAGACCTTACTTTGTAAAGTGTTGTGAGATGACTTTTGTTGTGATTTGGTGATATACAGATAAAATTGAATTGAATTGCCTGCTCGGCAATGAACGTGGCATATTGAGCAGCTGAGGTGCTGCAAGGTAAACAGCATGGCTGCCAGTGTTACAGGTGAGCTTTATCAAACCAATGTTCCTCTGCCCTCATCTAAACTCATCTACTGTAATTGAAATATTTTGTCGGTTATACATCATGATCTCAGCCCTTGTTTTCCCTTTGACATTAGATGTGTGCTATTTTACTTGAGACTGAACCACACTGGGATTGTGACACCACAGCTTTTCAAAATACAAACTTAAAATGGGGCAGGATCCCAATTCTTTTTGAATTCTCTGATTTGAAACAGAAAACATACAGCATGAGTCACCACACTGAACTAAAACACTGAAAAGTCAATGTTGACAGGTACTTTTCACTATGGATTCTAAAGCCATATTTTAGAATTCATTTAAAGCAGATGTTTGTTGTTGTTGTTGTTAGGGGAAGAATAATGCATTCAGTTTCAAGATGTCTCATTTTGGATGATAAAATACTAATATACAAGACAAGGTGCTGTGATAGTGTGAAAATAACCAGAAGAATATGTTTTCCTACTTCTAAATACAGAAGTTCCAAGCCCAGCCACTGTTAACTCAGTTTCGTTGTGGAAGTTTCATACTCAGCTTGAAATCTACTGAAACAAAGTGAACATCAGGCAGCCAGGCAGACTTGGTAGCCGCTCAGTTTTGAGCAGATGTTGACTGTTTTCTGGAAGTGACTGCTATGTTTTATACAGTTTATATTTATATCTTTTTTATCTTATAATAGAGGGATAAAGAGAGATCTCAGCTAGACAGAGAAGATAGTTTCATTAAAATACAGAGATATGTTTGTATGTAAATGCCTGAAGAGAGAGAGTGATGCAGCCAGCAACTGAGCAGAAAGAGAGATGACAGAGAACAGAGAGAGTAAGTGGAAATGGAGGAGTTGATGAAAAATAACTAAAAGAGAGCAAGATGAAGCGATAGATGAAGGATGACTGACACAAACTGTCTTCTCCTGCCTCAGAGAGCAGAGATCATAAGGCCTCTTTTGTTGAAGTAGAAGGTGCACAAGCATGTGTGTGTGTGTGTGTGTGTGTGTGTGTGTGTGTGTGTGTGTGTGTGTGTGTGTGTGTGTGTGTGCGTGCCTATATTGTGGAAGCTGTTATTAAGATTTTTCTGTCAGTAGGGGAGCAGCTCTGAG